ATACAATGACAGAAACATCATTACTACGTTGGAAATATAAGTCATTATTTCTTTGGAGAATTTCATCATGAAACTGTCGACTGTTGACACTTGTGAACTCTCAAAGAAGCTGTTGAGTTAACGTTAAGATTATATACAATGACAGAAACATCATTACTACGTTGGAAATATAAGTCATTATTTCTTTGGAGAATTTCATCATGAAACTGTCGACTGTTGACACTTGTGAACTCTCAAAGAAGCTGTTGAGTTAACGTTAAGATTATATACAATGACAGAAACATCATTACTACGTTGGAAATATAAGTCATTATTTCTTTGGAGAATTTCATCATGAAACTGTCGACTGTTGACACTTGTGAACTCTCAAAGAAGCTGTTGAGTTTGATCAACATTAAAATTACATACAATGACAGAAACATCATTACTACATTGCAAATATAAGTCATTATTTCTTTGGAGAATTTCATCATGAAACTGTCGACACTTGTGAACTCTCAAAGAAGCTGTTGAGTTTTAACTAACGTTAAGATTATATACAAAGAAAGACATCACTACCGTGGAAATGTAAGTAAATATCAAAAACTGTTCAAATATTGAATGACAAACATTGTAACTATATATCAGAATGTCATGTACAAGAGTGTTCATATTGATAAGAGTATATTTTAGAACAWTTTTTTAGTTTATCTTGTTTATATTTTAACCATTTTTGACTTTACTAGTCAAGCTTTTGACCCAACTGTGTCATCACAAAATGAATAATCTAAATAACATTCTCACATTTTAAAAAAGAATGCACAAGAGAACTTTTGTTATTAATTTAAACAAGATAAACATCCAAATAAGCTGCATAAATCACATTTGATTTCATAGTTTGAAAACTTGTTTTTAATATTTTTTAATTTTAGAGCAAACACAGGAAAACCATGAATTAAAGTCAAACTAAATGCTAACAAATAGTGACTATTTAGAGACAATTTGTCAGTATCAATGAACCAGAACACAATGAAGATGAATCCACATGGGACCATTAATAATTCATCTATATTGCATTCTGGTTCATTGATACTGACAAGTTGTTTCTAAATAGCCAYTATTTGTTAATATTTAGTTTGATTTTATTTCATATTTTACCTGCATTTGCTCCACTACATTGTTAAAAAGTTTAAACCATGGTTCATGTTGTACTTTGATAATTTTATTAATGGTCTTTGTTCAATAAAATTCTGTTCAATGAGTATATGTTGTTCTTTACTTGACTTTACAGTACTTTTCATAAACATCAAATTTCCCACTTGATTACCACAAATTACAGATGTACAAAGGACATTCACAAATGAACCTCAAAACCATTCACTGTGCCAACATTATACATCTCCAAATAGAGTGGTTCTCATGTTAACCCATGAAACAAAATGTAATAGTCAAAGTGTAATAGACAAGAAATATAATAGAGTAGTTCTCATTAACCCATGAAACAAAGTGTAATAGCCAACAAATATAATAGAAAACAAAGGAGACAAAGTAAAATAGTGTAATACGTTAAAGTGTATTTCACGGGTTAATGAAAACCACTCTACTAAATTATTTACAGTGGTATCAAAATGATTCAGTGTCACTAATGCACAAGGAAGCCCATGTAAGCGCTCACTGAGCGTCTAGTTATCTATTTAAACTGGGAAATTGGTTACGGGGAAGTGCACAGGAACAGTCAAGAGAATTGAGGGCAAAATGAACGCTACAAAAACGTTAAGTGTACTTCATCTAAGTTAAGTTCATTAGACTCAAAAGACTCAAATTAACAACTTTGCGCTTGCAAATTTCAATTCTAGTACTTGTTTAACAAATTTACTAGGGGTTTATATTCCTTTTTTTGTTCAAAAAACCGAGAAGTCTTACCTTAAACAAAGTTGTTTTGCGCGTCCCTCTAGTGTATCGCACAGTCGATTGTTAAATCAACATGTTAAGGTATCCTGAAGGAGTTTTACGTCGAGTTGCTATGGTACCAAGAGAAACTAGCCGCATAATAAACAAACAAAGAGCGATGTTTACCGCGATGGTTATGATACGTAAACTTARCCAAAGCTGGGACCGTTTTCGGGTTATTATCTTTGAACACCTTCATTTTATACAGCGAATCAATTTCGTTTGAAGAACGGACTATTTACTTTTGATAATTTCCTGAAATTTGAAAATTTGAAAATCGACAGTTGATTGGCAATTTTCTTGCAGATTTTTAATTATCTTCTCGCGTAAAGAAGTACAGGTTCGCTGAAAATAATTTTTCTTTTTGCTTGAAAGACAAAAATAAAATTGCCTTTTTTTTCATGTTTCATATATCGGATTGACTGCATCCACCTCGCTTACAATTGCTTAGCTTAGCAAGCAATAGCCTGCTAGTCTAACGTCAAATTGAAATAGAGAAATTCAGTATGGAATATGGAAACTCCATTCAATCACTTATCTAGATATATTCTATTATATCAAATAGCGCGGTATTCTATAAACTTTTTTATAGTTATATTTGCTATAATACGTGCGCTATGATTGGTCGAGAACCGTGTGTTATTTAAGTACACGAGTATATGGGTGACGCAAATCAATCTTAGGCGCCTTCTGATTGGTCAAGACCAGTGCAGGGGCTACAGCTAGTAAGCGGGACTTGAATTCAAATTGCTTAATGTATTTGCAATCTTATTTAGCGAGAAATGAATGAAAATATCATGAAATTACCCATGATATACCCAGTA